CGATATCTGGTCCTATATCCATATTTGGAGGATTTAGGTTATTAAAATGGCCCAAAGTCAATGCAGTTGGGAGTTTGACTTTAGTCTAGGCACCTTTAGCAAAGAAGACAATACCTTAGGTTGATCCCACCACCGGTGATGGTAGTTTATTGCCGGCGGTAATGGTTGTTAAGTTGCGGTCGGGTGGATGGGGGGAGAAAGAGGGAGAAGAGACCTCCGATCGCCGGTAATGGTTGTTGGATGCTGGTATCCGGTGATGATGCCTGCCATCCAAAATGATTAGGGTTAGTTTTCATGGAAAAAGAAGAGATGCAAAGAAGACAATACCTGATGTTGATTTGTCCGTTAGTGATGGTTGTTTGTCGCCGACGGTAATGGATGTTAAGTTGCTGCTGGGTGGATAGGGGGAGAGAGAGGGAGAAAAGAATGAGTCACTCCCTTGTGACACTCAAGGGAGAGGAGAGGAGGGTACTCGAAAAATGGGTTTTGCTTAACTAAGGGCGTGATATAGACCTGTTCATGGGTCGGGGACGGTCTTGAACATGAGTTTTAGCCTACAGGCTTGACCTCGGGCCTAAAAGCCCCATTCAATTTTTTTCGGGCCAGGCTCGGGATTTGTCAAAAAATCCTGGCCTGACTTTTATATAGTTTAAACCTTAAATTCCTAAAGCGCCTAACCCTTTACCATTTCCCTGTTTTCAACAATGTTCTATCTTCTCACTTTTATTCTCATTCTTAGTTTCTCACTCTCAAACTCTCAGAACCAGCGAACCCAAGTGCACTGTTTTCACTTTGCAAACTCAGTTACCGATGACCAATTCCACCACAACTAGGTTCTCTCTCTCCGGCGGTTAGCTCTCTCTCTCTCCGATTGGCACTGTTTTCATCTTCTATCTTCTCACTTTCTCAGTTTTCATTCTCACTCTCAGACTCCCAGGAACCGGCGAACTCAGGCACCATTCTCACTCTTAGAGGCAAACTCAGGCACTGATGCCACCAGTTAACTAGGTCGTCTCTCTCTCTCTCTCTCTCTCCCTCTCTCTCTCTCCCTCTCTCCCTCTCTGGTTAAGTTTGCCCTTAATCATCTTCATCTTTAAGTCGGGCTTTGGGCTTTTTATGAGAGATAGGCTTGGGCCCAAGTTGTAAGCCCATTGGTCAGGCTGGGCTCAGGCTGGGCTCGGGCTCAGGCTCAGGCATGAAAAATTTCTGTTAGTGAAGAGCAAAAGCCCAGCCCGAGCCCAACCCGGCCATGAACAGGTCTAGGCGTGAAGCATCCCTCGAATGTTTCAACTATTTACACGAATTGGAGGACGCGCGCCCTCCAATTGCACAAATGGTGCCTTGACTGAGGGTGCTTGGACTGAAGCCAAACTCTTTGAAAGCATGGTGGAGATTGGAGAGCAGCTAGGAATAGGTAGGTTCGTCTTGGTTGGACCATGCATGCATTGAAACACGATTCTGCCCATGTGTTTTTTTTTGTCTTGAATAGCGAACAAACTCAGCATCTATCCTTGGGAGTGAAATAGGTACAGTAGGATCATTAAGTGGGAAGACAAGGGTATGTTTGTCACTAAGGCTGCATTTGGTTGCAATGCAAATGCAAATATGTACATTACATATTTACCCATTTTTTCGGTTCATGAATGCAAACACGGTTCACATTTTAAACCATTTTTGCATTCATCTTGTTTTTTTGAAATCAGTGCAAAAGTGTGGGCCTGTCATTAAATGCTCCAACTATCTTATACACCAATGCATTAACTTTGGTCAAAATGTTAATTATCAAAAGAATACAAAATTGTATCCAAAAAATAAGTACAGTAATGCTCTCTTCTCAGAGTACAAAACTATCAGAAAATATAATTTTACTCTAATAATCATTACTTTTTTATGTCTCAAACAAACACTCACAAATGTCAACTGGGGTACATAAATACCCCGGTTTGGCATTTCTATCGCAAACAAACGAAATCTAAAGAAAAGTTTGCCTTGCTTGAGGATGTAAATGGGTAGTAGGATCATAGGAAGTGTATGTAGTAGGTTTTGGGCTAGGCTTCGCGAATTGGAGTAAGAACGATAGAGGAGAGGGTGATGAAGCGGCGTTGCCGCGTGGATCCATGGTGGTGGCAAAAGTTGCGCATTTTAACACATCAGGAGCAGCTTCAGTTAGAATCAGCTGCCTTGGCGTCTCCCTCCCTCTCCTCCTCCCCTTTAAGCCGCCCAGCTTGCCTGGGTGGATGCATTGGGAACATCTCCCGTGAATAATAACAAATAAGTACGAGATATGTTCCTAATACATGATAGGATGTGTCTGTGAGGCGCTAGTTGTGAGGAGCAGATCCGGTCTTGCTTGCCTACCTGCTTCTCTCTCCCTTTCTAGTTTTGTGCAAATGTATTGAAAACCAGGAGCATTGAATCGATTCGTCAAAATGAAAAATTATGAATCAGACAAATCAGTTTCCATTTAAGGCATAAACGAGAACAAAAAAAAGGGAAATTCCCGATAGGTACCTTGTACTTTAGGCTGAGTTCCAATTTAGTACCCTGTAAATGGACTGTTAGTTATGTATATCATGTGACCTCATGTGCGATTTAAGACTTTTGAAAATGCCAAAATTACCCTTGAAAACAAAACACTGTTCATCATCTTCTTTCTCAAGAAAATGAAACAGAACCTAAGCCAAGCTCTTCAATTACACCATTCTTTAAGACACAAAGGATGTGCTCATCGTTACAGGGAAGCAGTGCCGAGATTATTCTGTTCTTGAAGACTTGGGTGAATTTGCATATGACTTAGTGGGGTTTTAGGGATCAGGTTCCATCTCATACCAAACCGCACTAGTGATAGTGTTAGTGGAGGGCTGTATTTTTTCTTGTGATAGCTGCATTTGATTTCATGCAAGGCCTATGAATCTCATTCCTCTGCCGCTACGGGCATCGTCCTTTTCATTGCATTTGTCGGCCTTCAATCTCAACAAGGCATTGGCCTCGTCGGGTTGAGTTCTTCCACCTTGGTGACCCTCACGGCTTTGCAGTCACTGATAATAGGTGGAGTGTGATGTACACCTATAGCAGGTAATGGTGGGCCATTGAGCCTTTTGTAGTTTACACAATTCACCGAATGGCTACGATTCACCGACAATATTCTCCCACCTGAAAGTTCACCACAGAAAAAAACTAGCGGTTCTAACTGAAGTAGCATATATTCGTCTTTCTCGGGTCCATATTCTACCTAAATTTGCGATTATAGCTCGGCGTCTTCCGTCCACATCCAATATGGCCACCACCACCATACTCTTGCCTTCTGCTTTCACTACAACTCCTTTGATTTCAAGAACCAAAACCCTCCCGATACGAAACGCTTCTACTGCTACAGGTGTACATCACACTCAACCTATTATCAATGAGTATGAGAATGGAAAGATGCAAAGCCCCACATTCTGGCTTGGCACAATGTGAGTTAAGAAATAAATAAAGGATAGAAAGACTAAATAAATTGAGAATGGTTTGATGGAATGGAGAACCGTTAGAACCCTGCATATTTATAGATGAAGAAGTACATTTTGAGTACAATACATAGTTGGAGAGAGTCAGATAACATTGAACTCAATCAGATAGAGTTTATCTTAGGTTTGAACTCTATCTGATAGGATCTACCTAGTTAGTTGAGTTCTATCTTAATCTAGATAGAGTTACATTTGTGGATGGAGATCTATCTGATGACATGGGAGCATTTGATGATGTGGCAGTAGAGTTATCCTCAATACGCCTCCTCAAGCGAATGGGCACTGGGAGCACATGTAGCTTGTGCATAATGGATGAAAACCGAGGGAAAGCCAACAATTTGGTGAAGATGTCAGCTAGCTAATGCAATGACTGAATGTGGTGAAGTTGGAGAGACTTCTTGAGAATATGATCCCATAGGAAGTGAAAATCAACTTCTATATGATGAGTCTGAGAATGAAAGATCGGATGAGCAACAAGATAACATGCTCTGACATTATCACAGTAAAGTGATGGAGTAGATGGAAATCGGATTCTGAGATCCTATAAGAGAGACTGCAACCAAATTAATTCGGTAGCAGTATTTGCAAGAGACCTGAACTTTGCTTTTGTACTTGATCTAGCAACAATCTGCTGCTTCTTATCACTCCAGCTCACTAGATGAGAACCAAGATAAACATAGTAGCCACTAGTGGACCGGCAGTCATCAGGGCACTCGCCCCAATCAGCATCAGAGAAAGCCATGAGACTGGAGGAGGACTAAGAGGAGAAGAATAAAGTGTGGTCTAGGGTATATTTGAGATATCAAAGAATATGCTTAACTGCCATCCAATGTTCATCTATGGGATTATGTAAGAACTGACAAGCCTTGTTGACTACAAAACTAATGTCAGGGCGAGTGAAAGTGAGATACTACAGCCCTTCCACAATACTCCTTTATTGAGACGAGTCAGAGAGAGGAGGCCCATGAAGTCTAGAAAGCTTAGCATTCACCGCCATAGAGTAGAGAGAGGTTTCACACCATCAAGACCAGCACGATGAAGAAGATCAATAATATACCAACATTAATAGAGATAAAGTCCACTGTGATCCCTATAAGCTTCAATACCCAAAAAATAGTGGAGGTCACCAAGGTCCTTGAGTTGAAACATTCGACTTAGTTTGGTAATAATAAATTTGATAATATCTAAGGAAGTGCTAGTGAGTATAACATGTTCCACATACAATAACAAGTATATATGGTGAGCACCATGAGGATAAATAAAAAGAGAGGGATCACAGCTAGAGGTACGAAATCCCAGTTCAACAAGCTTAGAACTAAGGTGTGAGAACCAAGCTCGAGGAGCCTGTCGAAGCTCATAGAGGTCTTTGGACAACTTGCACACATGATTGGGCCAATCTGCATCCTCAAAACCCTTAGGATGGTGCATATAAATGTTCTCAGTGACAAGACCATTGAGAAAGGCATTATTGAAGTCCAGTTTTCGAATAACCCACTAATGGGAAACTGCAAGAGAAAGGATAGTACGAATAGTGGTGGGTTTAATAACTGGGCTAACAATGCCAAAAAAATCCACACCCAGGATTTGTGTAAAACCTTGAGCAACAAGCCGATCTTTATAGCGATCCACAGATCCATCGGGTTTCTGTTTGATCTTATACACCCATTTAGAACCAACCACATTCATTGAAGAATGATATGGAACGAGATTCCAAGTCTTGTTTTGAACAAGAGCCTGAAACTCTTTGGACATTGCATCAGACCAATGATGATGTTTAGAGACTTGGGAATAAATGTTGGGTTCAGATTCAGTAGCAGCAATAGAAGCAGTATAGCAAAGGGGAAGAGGGTACCAAGTAGCCACAGAGGCTTCAAAGTGCATGGACCTGGTAACCATAGTATGAGTGCGCCGAACTGGAGTAGGAACAAGTTGCGTGGAGTCCAACAGATCCTGAACCAACCGAGTCTAAGGTCGGGTGCGGGGAAGTTCATCTAAAGCCGAAGTAGGGCCAGCACTTTCAACAACATTATTGTTGGTATTTGATCTAGGTACATCAGTCCCAGAAGGCGTCTGAGATGATGATGAAGCTGTAGGAACATATTCTGGCTGCCAAGGTACACACACTGGAAGCAGATTGACCTCAGTAGAATTGGGTTATGGAGATGATATTGGTTGTGGCAAGCTAGGAAACAGGTTTTCATCAAAAATAACATGGCGGCAAATGTAGAGCCGACCTATCTTGATAGCATAGCAGCGATAACCCTTGTGAGAGGAGTTGTACCCCAAAAATATGCAGAGAGAGGATCTGTAGTCCATTTTATGTCTATAGTACGGTCGTAGGAAAGGATAACATGTGTAGCCAAAGGCGCAAAGCAGAGAATAATCTGGTGTGTGCTGAAATAAAATTTCATATGGTGACTTGCCTTGAAGAGTCTGAGAAGGGATGCAGTTAATCAAGAAAACCAGAGTTTTAGCTGTATCAAACCAAAAATTCTGGGGAAGAGAGGCGGTGGCCAGTAAGGTAAGGGTGGACTCTATCACATGGCGATGCTTCCTTTCAACCATGTCGTTTCGTTCATGAGTGTGAGGGCAGGTGACACGGTGTCCGATGCCTTGAGAATCAAGATACAGTGAAAGTCTTCGATATTCCCCTCCCCAATCAGATTGGACATTTAATTTTTTTTGTCAAATAAAAGTTCAACATGCCATTTAAATTTGAGAAAAATATCAAATACATCAGATTTTTGTCGCATAGAAAAAATCCAAGAAAATTTAGAAAAGGCATCAACAAATAACACATAATATTTAAAACCACTATTTGACTCAACCGGGGCTGGCCCCCATACATCTAAATAGATCAGTTCTAAAGGATGATTGTAAGACGACGATGAACTAGGGAGGGGAAGATGATGACTTTTTCCTAACTGATAAGCATGCCAAACTTTAAAATTAAACGAACCATTGTAGGGAAGATCAAACTGAGATAGCACTTGCCGAACTACTTTAATTGAAGCATGCCCAAGCCGATGATGCCAAACTCGAACTGATGCTCTCTCGCCAATAAATGCAGTATTGCTAAAGGACGAAGAAATGGATGCTGAAGTAGGAAATTGATAGAGTCCACCTTTACTGGGCCCGTAGAGTAGAACTCTCCCTGTATTGTCCTTCAAGAGAAAATACGAAGGATGAAATTCAAAGACAACATTGTTATCTTTGGTAAATTTGCTAACAGAAAGCAGATTCTTTGTAATGGAGGGAATATGATAAATATCCTCAAGATAAAATTTATTGTCATTATGAGAAATAACAGAAGAACCAAGATTTTTTATTTCTAAACCAGCACCATTACCAACTTTCACCTAGTCAGACCCTCCATAGTCTGATCGAATCTGCAGATTGTCCAGATCGGATGATGGTGTGTTGCTCCAGAGTCCGGATACCAAGTCGGATCAAATTGTAATGAAGAACTAGTGTGAAAAGCAGCAGTTGAATCCGGAGTAGGGTTTTGGGTAGGTTGTCGATTAGGACAAAGATAGGAGATATCAAACTGACGTCTACATTTCCAAACACCATGGCCATGGATGTTGCATAATTGACAGATAATAGTACTACGTTCACGACCGCATCTGGGACCATCATTTTGGTTCCCGCGACCGCCTCTGCTTCTTCTGTACTGTGAGTTATTGTGCGACTACTAGGAGTTTTGTGAGTTATTTTTATTGTTCAAAACAAAATTGGCAGAAACTCCATCATCAGATTTAACAACATGATTTTCCTTAAGCCAAGACTCATGATTAAGTAATTGGCCAACAACATCAGCAATTCTTAGTCTATCAAAATCAGGTCTATTAGCAATAGCAGTAATAATGGACTCATATTCATATTCGAGTCCACTCAAAATACACATAACAAGATCTCCAAGAAACAGGTTCAGAGATAGTAGAAAGGTTGTCAGCAAAACCTTTAGCCTTTTGTGTGTATTTAGAAATAAAAAGGGCACCTTTCTTGATACTCTAGAGTTGTCTCTTCAATTGCAAAACTTTGGAGCAAGAGTGGGAAGCAAATGACTCCTTCAATGCACTTCAAACTTCAGAGGATGGGGACATACCTATGACCTGAGTGAGTATACCCTTAGTAAGGGATGAAACGGTCCAGTTGATTACTAGTTGATCCAGCTGATACCAATGGTCAAATGCTGGGTTGATAATCTTTCAGGATGGATCCTCAGGATCATCAATTTCTTCAGGAGCAGGGGTTTTCCCTTCCACTATACCCATGAGTTTGTGAGTATGGAGAATGGGAAGAAGCTGCACATGCCATAGGAGGTAGTTGTCGCTGTTCAACTTGATGGGGAGATAGTGGGAGACATTTGGAATTGATCCTGGCATACCAGTTGTAGATGTTGGTGTCAATGACCCTAGGTTGTTGATCTCTTCTGTCGACCTGTTGAATGAAGCCATGAGAATATGGCTCTGATACCAAGTTAAGAAATAAATAAAGGATAGAAAGACTAAATAAATTGAGAATGGTTCGATGGAATGGAGAACCATTCGAACCTTGTATATTTATAGATGAAGTACAGTTTGAGTACAATACATAGTTGGAGAGAGTCAAATAACATTGAACTCTATCAGATAGAGTTTATCTTAGGTTTGAACTCTATTTGATAGGATCTATCTAGTAGTTGAGTTCTATCTTAATCTAGATAAAGTTACATCTGTGGATGGAGATCTATCTGATGACATGGCAGCATCTAATGATGTGGCAGTAGGGTTATCCTCAATAGTGGGCTTCCTAGTAATGTACTATGGGCTGATGAAGGAAATCAGGGGCAGGTGATGGAGGTGATGTTGGTTTCATGGCCACTCTCAGTGACACCAACTACAAATATTTCAAGCAGGTTATGGAGTTCCATAAAATCAAGAGCACTGCCAGGGCTGTAAATTTCAAAGGGTTCAACAAAAGTGAGGTCTAGGTAGTCTTGATTACGTTGCTCTACATGGATGTGTTGACTTGGTATGTTGCTCCGCCAGGTTCCACCTCCTTCGTAATCAAGATTCCACCACAACTAGAGCAAGAATGCGAACTTTGGCAACCACAGCCCGAAATTGCACATTTTTGCGGAGCGTCTTGTCTACATCATTCTTTCTGCAGTTCATCAGAAATGTGATGTTCTGCTATTTGCTCTGTTGGTTTACATCTCTGGTATGTTGTTGTATATGGGTTCTTTGAGTCTTGAGGTTGTTGCACCGACTGTCATTGTCAAACTGGCTCCGCCAGGTTCTCTTCCCCCAATTTTCCCTTCGAATATTGATGAGTGCTGAGATGCATTTAACTTGAAGGCCATTTGTTACACAGTTGTTGCTTTATTAACAGAAGGTTGATAAAGAGAATTAGATGCCACTTGAAGGGCATTTGTGTCTTTTCCCATGACACTTAACGACTGGTTAATAGTAGGTACTAGATTGTCTCATTTTGAAAGTTCGGGTATTAAATTGTCACATTTTAAAGTTCGGGTACTAAATTAGCACTCGGCCTAAAGTACAGGGTACCTATCAGGAATATTCCCGAAAAAAATAGTATAGAAAAATGTAAATAAATGAAATGTTTTATTACACGAAACGATGATGGATAAAAGAGGGAATAGATCCTACAATTGAAAAAGAAGAAACGCATGCAGCAAGCAATGATTAACATGGTGTTTGGTAGCGTGGGAGCTTTTTGGGACCAATTTTCAAGAAAAAAGGCCCATGCTTCCAAGACCCGCTTTTCACAAAAAAAATGCTTCTGCCATGTAGGCAGTGAGCAACATTATGCTGTTTGGTAAGGTGATTTTCATTACCGTTTTTCATGTATGTGCTGACAGGTAAGCACCACATAGGATACACATCGGTCAACCGTTGGGGGAAACAGTTCACCGATGCATTCATGCATTAGTGGGGTCCCGAATTTCGAGGCATGTCCTTTTTTTAATAATCGGCTGAACCAAACAATGAGATACATGGGCGTTTGTTCAAACGCCTATGTGGATCCAATGTGCCACCACTTTTTGAAAAACAGCCACGGTTCCATAAAAAAACAAGTAAGTTAGGGGATTGCATAACAGTGGTGGTAATTGGTAATTATCCATAAAAAATGAGACTAAGCAATTAAGGTGGTGTTCGACATCGTGTTCATCTCATTTCGGTCTCGTCCATGAGATGAACACCCATTCTGCCGGCTACGGACGGCCCCGTTCACACCCCAATTTCTCATCCATGGCAAAATCTCATGATTAGGGACCCATCCACACTTGATTTTTTATCCCCTACTTCACACTTTCCCTGAAAGGTTGAAACTCTATTGTTTGTTTCACATTTTAATATTTTTGTCATTAAAATATTAATTATTTTACTTAATTTTTTATTTTTTTAATTTTAATGTTTTATCAATAAAATAATATTTAAAATATATTTTTAAAATATTTAATTATTTTACTATTGTTTTTATAAAAAAATAATATTTATTGGTTAATATTAATTCATTGATGTCATTAAAATATTTAATTATTTTACTTTGTAGATTAAGGTTTTTGAATCGCCATTGACCCGGATGGTCGAACTGTTTGGCCTAGGAACCGTCCAGGCAAGCGGTTCCGTTTTACCCCAAACCTGGTTTTTGGAAAAAAACCGTTGAAAAAGTCAACAACCTGTTGACCCGAGTGGTCGAACCATCAACCTGTCGACCCGTTCAACGGTTTTTTACCATTTTATTTTTAATTTGTTTGTCAAAACGGGTCATCCATTTGAACCGGACAGTCGGACCATCGACTTGGAAATCGGTGGCCAGAACGGTTCCATTTCTAGGTCATTTTTTAAAATGTTGGTGTAGATCATTCATAAATGTATATGAGATAC